CTGTGAGGCACCAAGTTGGTGCCTCTGGAAGTTCAGGGTTATCCATTGATAAATGATCCTATATGAGTGTGTAATAGCTTCTCTTGAGATTTTGGAAGTCGGGAGTCACAGTGATACTTTTTTCCCCTTTCCTTGTGTGTAGTAAAACCTACAGCTGTTGGTTATGAATGGTGTAAGGGCAAAGAGTTTGCAGAAGTGAGAGCTTCTCAGGTTTTTAGTGTTTTCTTTTGTTTTATGTTTTCCTTTTTAAAATCAGAATTAGATGTCATTGCTGAAGTCTGGTTTAGCTAAGCACATTGTTAGGTGCAAGGCAGGAATAGGCAGACAAAGTTCCTTGATCTGTTCCCATAGAGGAAGTGAGAGTGTATGCTCTACAGTAATAACAACTCTGATGTAAAGGAAGACTAAAAAGGGTTTCTTTGCAATTTTGCAGTTCACACTGGTCTGCAGGGAGTTTGCTAGTTTGATTATGTGAGGATAGCTGTCTCGCATATGCTTACAGTCTCTGTAGGCGTGATCTCTAGTGCTCAGTGTCTGTGAGATGTTCTCAGAACACTTTTATTGAGGAAATGGCAGCCATGTGGGCAATGCATACCAAGAAAATTAATGGAAGAATTCAAGTAAAGGCAGTTCATTTACTAAGATGATTGCTCTCTGCTGTAGGTTACTTAAGCCAGGATTCTACAGTAGCAGAAGGCTGGTTTGCAGGAGCCCTGCTTTGCAGAAGTGTTCTAGTCCTTCAGTAAGGGATAATATCCATAGAGATAGTAGTACTTCTCGTACTGTTGTTTGGTGATGCCCATAGGATTTTTGCATTGGAAAGCTGCAAACCTTAACTTGACAGGTCTTGCTTTTTCTGAAGCTGACACTTGGCATGCTTTACGTATTGGCACATAAAGTACCAATTACCGTATTGAAAGAGTTCATATAATTTGTCTATATGGATTGGAAATAGAAATCGTGCTTATTTTAGATTGCCAGAGAGCCCTCCCCAGAACAAAATGACCCTGGCTGTAGAGTGTCTTCAGTAAAATGTTGATTGCTTTGCTGTCTCTGTACCATGTCCTCTCTCTCTGCTTCCTCAGCAAAGCACACTTCTTGTTTCCCTCTCCCTGAAGGCAGACATCTGTTTGGAAACTTCCAGGAAGAAAATGTGGTGACTAGTTTCAGGTCAGTTGTTTGAAAGCAGAAGCTCAGCTGAAGTAACTTGATAACGAGGAGGAGCCAGATGCCAGCTAGGAATTTGCAGACCTTGTTCTGACCTTCTTCCTCGAGGATTTTATGTGACTGGTCCAGTCAATTAAGACTTAGCTGTAGGGGCAGTTCATTCAGGGAAGCATCCTGTGAGGACAGCTTTTCTGGAAGGCAAGTAGTGTTTCTAGCTTGTCTTACTGCTTGCAAAATAGCCCAGGCTAAAATGGGACAAAGGGCTCCCCTAGCGCTGCAGGATCATACCATGCAGCTGTGCTTCTGGGGACAGTGGTGAGATTTGCTGGCAGGGTTAGTTCTCTTCTTGTCCTTCCCTTATTATTTGCTGATAAAATACTCTGTTTCTTTTGTCCTACAACTTTTCAAATACTTCTGCTCTTAAATTGCTGTAACTGCAGTATATCTCAGTTTTGCCCCTTGCTCGTGGCATATGAACTTGACCTTCTCTATCCTCAGTAGGCTTTTAAGTGCCATTGGTCATGAGCTGTTTGAAGGAATTCTTTGTACATGCCTGTGTTAACTAAAGGGAGGAATCTGCAAAACAATGTAGGTGAGGAGTCCCTTGCTGGTGTGATTGGTAGCATAAGGAAGATGTTTGTGAACTTAGCCGGTGGGAAGGTAACACTGGTGGCAACATGTGCAGTCCAAAATGTGTTTATCTCATCCGTGGCTGTGCATTTTTGCTTGTCTATAACTTAAATGCCTCGAGGCCTATGCCAGGGCTCCACATAGAGCATACCACACACTTTTCAACTCACAGCTTTATCTCAGCTCTATTTTTGGACCATACTTACAAGATGCCTGTTAAGTCACACAGCTGAAAAGACAAGGATGCAAAGTGCTGGATCACAGAGACCTAGCTCTTCTCCCTTTCCCATTTCCCCCTTTTTCTTTCTTCCCAGCACATAATATTTTCGAGATCTTGGTTAGGATTCAGTTGGTACAAGGAATGCTAACTAGACTCTTCTGAGAAGAGACCTGTGGTTGTTTATTTCTTTCCCACTCAGTGTGAAAGAATCGGCATCGCTTCTTTATCATACCCTGCTTTGTTGCCTGTCAGTGTTACATTACTTTTGATAAAACATAGGATTGTCAGGCAGCTCAGAATCCACACTAGGAACTTCTTGAACACATGCTATGGTAAGTAGTAGCTGGGTTGTCCATTTCCTGAGAGCATTATGAATTTGTGATTCAGTTACTTTAGATGTCTGTTAGCCAGTTATCTTCATTCTGTTTGTTTAATGCTAATTGTCTTGACACAACTTTGCAAACAAATAGGAGCTACCTTGCTCTAAAGCGTTGCATGTAAAGCAGATCTCTTGCTCTAAAGTGTTGGCAGAGAGGGCTTAGTACATGTTATTTTTGTATTAACTCTTGCTTGAATGCATCTCAGATTTGCACAGTGGGTGCAATGGCTGAAATAGATCACCTTGTGCCGCCTAATTACTGCTTGAAAAGGATAAAGTTTACTGCCCTTATTAGGAAACTCAGCTGTGATGGTCACTGACTGCTTGTCTTTTGAATGAGTATGGGAACATGCTGGCATTATTTATTTGAATCATGGGCTTCCTGGTCTATTGAAGAGGAAAAGGAATGTATTGGTCTTGTTCAGAGTGTTTCAAACTGCTTTAAACAATGTGGGTGCTGTGATCTTAACCTTGGGGGGTTGTATGAAATAGCATGGGAAGAACATAATTCTTACTGCTTGTTAGTCTTTGGAGTTCTCTGGAGGCAGTACCACTGGAACCTCTTGGCTGAGGGGACATGCACTACTGGTCTCTTAAAACAAGCTGTTGGACCTATCTGGTAAAATGTATCTTAGGATAGTCTTAAGAGGACATAGTGGCTGCGATCCATTCCATTATAAAAATACTGACACTTAGCCAGCCACAGCAGGGTCATATTGTGAGCGTACTGTGGTTGTTACTTCATTTCCACTCCGTTTTCTAGGAATAGAGGTAAGGTTTTGAAGGGGATGAACTGGCTTTTCTTTTAAAGCAGTGTCATAAATGTACCATGTTAAATCTTGGTCCCCTCTATAATGGTGTTCATAAAGACTGTGAAAGATGGTTTTTTGGTGGCGAAGTTTCGCGGCCTTCTTTAATACTCAGATTTCTCAGTTTGACAGAAGTCCAGCGACAGGTACTTCTTGAGGACAGCTTAGGAATGTTGTAACTGACCTGGGTGAAAATAAGATGGTAAATATGTTTTCTGAGAACTTCTCTAGTGCAGTGGATGAAAGAACAAACATTAGTTGACCTCCATTGCTTTTAATAATGAATGAATGCAGAGTTTCAAAGACAAGCTGGAAAGAACAAGTCTGAGGTTCATGAGAGTAGAAAAGGAGTTAACTGGAAGTAAGTGATTTCTCAGGCTGGACTGCCTGAGAAATTTTTTTCTTACAAATTTCAGGTCAGTTTAAAGATTAAGCACAGAGAGAGAGATATTAGGCATGGACCAAGTGAAAGGGCAATGAAGGGAACTTGTTAAGTATTTTGTGGGAGGTGTGAGGTCTGTGTGTGTGTTTAGAGAAAAAAACCACTCATAATGCATAAGTAGATAGTATGTGTGATGTTTAGAGCACAGGAAAGAAAGACATTTCAAGCAGTGGCTGAGAAGTCTTGTCTTGTATATCTTCCTGAATACTTTGTCCATCAGCTTTGCTGTTGTCAGTGTTACCCCTGAAACATGAGTTTCTGCCGGTTTTCACTTTGGTAGAGCTAGCTGATTAAGATTAGGGATTGCAAATTTCTTACCTTAATTGTTTGGTATCTTCTATCATGGTATGATGCAAAACTTGAGTGCTTAGTGAATCAAGTAAAATTCTTGCAGAACACCTTTAAAATAGGAAGTAACTCAGTGGTGCCACAACTTTAATATTAATTGCTTGGTGCGTCCTTTTTTTATGGTGTTAGGTGAGCAAAATGGAGAAAAGCCTTTAAGAAAGTTTGTAGCTGACTACAGAATGTTTACACATGATTTAATTTTGCTTTCTCCTCAATTCTGTTTTTTCTAGAATGCGTATTTTTCTGGAGTTTCTCTTGTAGTTTAACTATCTCAGTAACTTCGTAGCTATTATAGTCACTTGGAAAGAATAGTGGCATCTTTCTTTTGCTGACAACACATGACTTTGGTTAAATATTTATGCAGGCAGCTACCTTGTTGCTAGTGCCCGTTTCATCAGATCCTCTTTTTGCTGTGTCTTGCTGCATAAATAGATGTTTTCCTGTTGTTTAGCACCATTCACATTAGTTTGTCCTATTCTTGAAATTGTAGAATGCTGAAACTAAGCCATACTTGGTTCTTGGTATCTATAATTTTGCTTTCCCAATGAACTGCAATAGTTTGTGCCAGAACTCTGCTGAAAATTCTGAACAAAAAATAATTGTGATTATTTTTTGTTCAGAAGGCTTGAGGGATAAGTGTGTTAGACTTTTTTAAAGTAACTGATGAATCAAATCTGTGCCATAAGAACTCAACCCACTTTGATGAATGAGTATTGTAAGCATTATCTAATAGCCTTAAAAACAGTTTTGTATCCTAATTAAAAAGAATATTTTACATTTCAGACAGGCTCTGCAATATGATTTGGAAAATGTACTTGGTGTGGACAGACAAGGGGGACTTACTGTTGTGATACGTGTGTTAAAAAAACCCAAAACCTTTTTGGCTACCCTTCCTTGAACATCTTCAGACGGGGAATAAAATGCAGAATTAAAGTGTAAACTGAAGTGTAGCTCAAACATTTTAGCAGGCAAATTTAGCTCTGACACTGCAGTAATACTCTAATAAAGTGTGCTTTCTGTTTTTCCTCCATTCACTCAGTACCCAGCCTTTTGTGACAAGTGTGCTTCTCAGTTGCCTGGCAGAAGTCAAAGGTGCTCGCAGCCTGATGCTTCCTGCTCACAGGAGGGTAGAGCTGGCTTTCATGTAAAGGGGCTCGAGACTGGCATAATAGAAAGTTAAGCTGGCTGTTCATGTGTGAATTATTACTTGGTGCAGCCTGAAGAATTGAAAAAATGTTTCAGATCTACATTTTCCTTTAAAAGTGGGGATAAAAACATTTTAGCTTCATCTGTTTCACAAGTGATGTGTTGATGAAGGATTACCTTAAATAAGGCAGGGATACACGTAGTGTTACAAGCACTGGTTGAAGAGCCGTAGTGGTTCTCAAGGCAATTCTTTAGGATTGTTTGCCAAAATTTAATATCCATACTAAGACAGCCTGTGTCTGAACCATGTTGAACCTGATCACTGAAGTCAATCAGCAGTGAGCAGCTCAAGTTCCTGACCTTGATCGTGAGTGCAACATTGGAAATAAACTGTTTTGTATTGTGTAATGGATAATGGAACATTGTCTTCCTCCTTTTTCCCCCAGATAATTTCAGACCTTGAGTCTTGGAATGATGAGCTCTCTCAACAGATGAATGACTTTGACACTGAAGATCTTACAATAGCAGAACAGAGGCTCCAGCATCATGCAGACAAAGCCCTGACCATGAATAACTTGACCTTTGATGTCATCCACCAAGGGCAGGATCTGCTGCAGTATGTCAACGAAGTGCAGGCATCTGGTAAGATGGTTCCTTTGTGCTATTCTGGGCAATGTCTTTATAAGAATTATCCAGTTGTCTGTCCATGGGATCTGGGAAAATATCCGAGATGCTGGTTAACTGTAAGCTGGAGACATGTGAGCTCCTTTATACTCTCATAGTGTTCATGAGAACATGCTGTTATTATGACACATAATTTTCATCAATGAGTTGGCAACACCTGAAGATGTTCAGATTTTAAAGAAAGGGATTTCACTCAGGAAGTTAGTAAAAATAGGGTAAATACGGGGGAGTTAATTTTATAGGTAATCTGATCATTGCAGTCCAGCAAAAATTTTCAGCTCACAAGTTGTGTCTTCTTTTTTTGCTTCTTATGCCTCTTCACTTGGTATTTTTCACTGTATACAGTCACCTAGGGTAAATACCATACTTTTTCTAAAAACAACCCAATATTGTATTTTTAAAGAGTGCCAAAACCTGTGCTCATGTAAGCAAATCCTCCGAGAGTTAAGTGGAACTTGGAGAAGGAACTGGAAAATTAAGTGTAAACCAGTGGAAACGGGCTATTTGTCTTCAGAAACCTTTGCAAGTCGTTCATAAATGACTGGCTGTTTGCAGGTGTTGAGCTGCTTTGCGACAGAGACGTAGACATGGCAACTCGTGTCCAGGACCTGCTGGAGTTCCTGCACGAGAAGCAGCAGGAGCTGGACCTGGCGGCCGAGCAGCATCGCAAGCACCTGGAGCAGTGCGTGCAGCTGCGCCACCTGCAGGCCGAGGTCAAGCAGGTACGGCTCCCCCACCTGTTCACACCTCCTGCACAGCTCCTCCCATAAACAAACTACCTCCTGCTCTAGGAAGTCTTTCAGTGCCAGTGGGGAAGGGCTTTCAGCACCTAGGGAGCTTTAGCCTCTGTTAACGTAAATTGCATCTTTTAATCTGCATCACCAGTCCATGTCGCTGCATGGATCTAGAGCACCAGTCCTATGAGGAGTGGCTGGGGGAGCTGGGGGTGTTTAGCCTGGAGAAAAAGAGGCTCGGGGGGACCTTATCATGCTTGTATCTACTTGATAGGAGTGTGTAGCAAGGTGGGGATTGGTTTCTTTGCCCAGGAAGCAAGTGATAGGACAAGGGGAAAAGTCCTCAAGTTATACCAGGGGAGGTTGAGAAATAATAAATATTAAGGAAAATTTTGTCACTGAAAGGGTTATTAAGCACTGGAACAGGGTTGATGGAGTCACCATCACTAAAGGTATTTAAAAGACGTGAAGGTGTGACACCGAGGCACATGGTTTAGCAGTGCACTTGGCGGTGCGGGGTTAGTGGTTGGGCTAGATCATATTAGAGATCCTTTCTGACCCAAATTATTCTGTGATTCTATAGATACAAGTCAAGTATTTGAAGTGTAGAGTGATTTGAACTAATGCTAAATCTATGCTTTTATCATCTGTATGGTGATGAATAAAAACATGTCGTCCCTGCACACTGGTCTAACACGTTTTAGTATGTTGTTTGCAACATCTACAAGTAGCGATAACATAATATCAACATGGTTTATTTTCTGGGAAAAGAAAAACAAAGTTTTGCTTCTTCTGACAATAAAGTAGCAAGAGTTGAGGTCCTTATCTGATAAACACCTAAACCTTTGGTGAATTTAGGATGCTGTGGGCGAAACCACTGAAGTAGGTGAAAGTTTTAGAAAGAACGAAACATTATAAGAGGTAAGAGTTTTTGATCTTGCTCACACTTGGCAGCATCACAGAAGTCTGCTACAGTTTGCTGTATTACTGTGGCCCCTAATGGCTGCCAGTGCAACTTGTTCTTTTTCGGTTTGTCATGACACCTCCATCATGAGACTGTGAATGGCAACTACCAAAGTGCAAAGTCCTATAAAAGGGGTTCTGTTAGGATTAGGAGAGGTGAATAGAAGGTTTCCAAAGTATTTCCAGGCAGTGGTTGGTCACTCTACAGTAGCAGATGCAAAGTTTCTGTGTGGGCTGGAATTAAAGGAATGCAAAGAACTGGTAGTGTCTGCTGTCAGTGCAATATAGGCATCAGTCAAATACATGATGTTCTATTTCAAGCCTTTGCATACGCTCCTGAGCTATCCTGTATCTGTCTTTGCACTTGTTCATCTTCATAAATGCAAATTACAAATTAGTCCTTTCACGTGAGTAATGGTTGAGGGAAAGTTAATTGTGGATGGGGATCATTTCTGTACTCAATTGCATATTCTCTTGAGGATGAAGGAAAAGAGTGCACATTTGCAAAGGAAAGAAAGTCTGTAAGGAAATAATGCGAATGCCAGCTGAGAGTCTCATCCCTTTATGGTACATCAGTGGGTTAGGATGGGTTGGGTAAGTAAGAAGAAGAAATTGCCATGACACCGAAATAATATTCGGTAACAGAACATAATATGGCACTTTGGTAATATTTAATAACTATTTGAATAGTTATTTCTATTGCCTGCTCCCACAATGAAGGGAGTGCCTTGCTCCACTAGCTTTGTTTGTATGCAAGTTAGTTGTGACAAGACACACGTGTTTGAAGCCTGTGTTTGCAGAACAGATGTTCTGTATTTTGGCAGATACAAGCAGATGATGAACATCGAGGATTTAGAGGAATATCCGTGTTGCATTTAGTATGTGATTTGTAGGTCATTCTGTAAGAATTTTGTAACTTTTTCGAACCACTTGTAGCCCTGACTGAAACTGAAGTGCGAGTTTAGATTTTCAAGAAAGCACTGGGAAAAAAAGTGTTCATTCTGTAATAAAGATATAGGTAGTACGCTCTTCTAGCCAGCTGGTTTGTCTTGGTAGACTGGGATTTGGAAGAAAAAACAAGTATTCTATTTTATATTCCTAGAACACATCTCTATCAAGTGAGTTTTTATGTTGAGTTAAATGCCATCATAGGTGTGGATTTTCAAACAAACCCATATGAGCATATAGCTGGCAGAATGTTCATGTATTACAAACTCCTTTTTCAGATTTTTATTGTACAGATTAACCTGCAACACTTTCCCAGCCTGAGGCCTCAAAATTGAATGGAACTAAAACTGAATGTTAATATCTTGTCTCATAGGGTTTCTTTTGATCCCCTTTGGAATGGTTTGAGGCTAGTAACTCTTAGTTTAGTGATTGCAGTTGTCTTTTCAGAAAACCACATCTGATTTATTTTAGTTTTTATTAAGTATGAGAGAGCATGATCTTCTCCTGTCTCCTTCGCACTGGGGAAACTTCACAGCTCAGCAGGTCACAGCAGGTGCTTTACCTGAGAGTAAAATGACATGGTAAACCTCCTCTTCGGTCTGTTTTGTTTGTATTTTGTTGCCTGAAGCAGTGAACACGTGGTTTTCCAGTTCAATACTGTGATTTATTTTGGTCAGATTTATTGTTGATGAATTGAATGTAAGCGTATTTACTGTGTAGGTGGGATGCAGTCTCCATGGTAGGAATTTTAACGTTTTCATTTGAATTTTTCCTGCCAAACTCACATTACTGCTATTGTATTTTCACAAACACAGACACACGCACACACACATATATATGTAAAATACATAAAAATATATAGCTTGTAGTCACGTGAAGAGGTTAGACTGGAACACTGCCGGAATTTAGACAAATACTTGGCTAAGATTCACTTCAGTGCTAGGTAGTGCAAGTTGGAGCTTAGTGAATTCTTATCAAATAAGCACAGGAAGCAGATAAAAAATTCAGTACTGCCTCTCCCTTAACTACTGTGCCAGTTTTGCTTTGTGGCATTGAAATTCTGTAGATCAAGTCCTAGGACTAAGAGGAAGCAGAAGGGCCAAAAGACAATGAGAAGTTTAAAGAAAACCTGCAAAGAATTTGCTCGTCAACTTGATGTATAATAGGTGCAGAAAGGGCAAAACCAGATAGAAGATTACAGTTGAGAAAAACCTTGTAAGACAGGGAGAATTCTGACTGAAATAAGAAGGGACAGCTGTATGTGGGAAAAACAACATAGAAAGGAAAATGTGACCATTTTTGCAGGGCAGGGACATATGAGTAGGTGGAGGTAGAGAAATATTTAAGAGAGTATCTGTCTCATCCAGAACTCCACTTGCATATTTTCCAGGCAAACTTTTTTTTTAATCACCTAAAATACAGCTGTTGGATTACTTAATGTTGCAATCACTCCCACATACTCCTTTGTAGAATGAAAGCTTTACTCTTAAGGTCAAAATCTCCACCAAGCTCCAAACCCAGTCCAGTTGGTTTTAGTGTGCTCATTAAGCCTTTTCAGTGCAATATTGTCTATTCTGTTCATGGTCTATGTTCTTGGATATATAACTATGTATTCATATCTGTACCACAGTGTACAGATAATTGGACTGCAACAGTACCTTTAGCTGCTTTGTGTTTTCACAAGGAGGTCTTTCAACTTGGTGCTTGAGCTCTGGTTATCCCAAAATACTACTCAGGGAGGGTATCCTGGCACTCTGTATACTGCCATATGGATATGAAAACAGCCAGGACAGCAGACTGAAGCATGTTGTCTCGTGATCATGTTTAGTTACAGTAAAAAATCAGTTCAAGGAACTAATCTTAAATCAAGCATTAGAGACCTACTTATTTGATCCTTGGAAGTGTCCCAAATTCTGTTTTCATTTCCACAGTTTTGCTGATGCTCTACTGATGCTTTTCTAGCCTGCTGAAGGTTGTGAGGGGAAAGATGGGGGGTGTGGTCCACTCAGACAGTGAGGTGATGGGAACATGCCAACAAACCCTGGAAGGCAGTAGCCCTGGAAGAAGAATAAGGTCGCTATTTACTAGTGCTTATGTTTTCCCCTTGAGTCAGCGCAGAGGGAAGGGGAAAGTACTGCTGGCAAATTTCCTCCAGTGAGTTCCATCAGCTTCTGTGCTTGCACCCTGACCTGCACCAGGCAGGAGGGCAAGTCCTTGTGTTTGAAATGGCTTTTTTCTGTGCTAGCTGTCCTCTGCCAAGTCAAGAGAAGCTTTGGATTGGTGATGCTTAAGTGTTTTCCTTCATTATAAATTCTCCGAAGAATGCTCAATGTATTGGAACCCTAAGAAGGTGTGTTTTGTTACACTATACCTGGAAGAATTATTTTATAAGGTAGAGAGGGAGCTTAGAACTACTTTTCTAAGACAAAATATAAATACAGAAGGGATTAAGAAATTCTTCTGCTTCCATGTTCTTGCAGGCAAATTATTTCTCCAAGGCTAATTTCTATCTACAGTCAGTTGGACCCATCTGCTTCCTTCAGAAGTTGTCCTTTTTCTTGCTCCTGTAACTTGCCTGGGCTTGCTCTCTTAAGTATTAACAACCCCTAAGTGCCTTAGCAACTTAGAAACTCCCAGTTTATTTCATGGAACATTTCATGTGACCCCAAGCTGTGATCTGCAGGTTACTCCTTTGCAGCAGAAGAGGTTGTTCCAAAACTGGAACCATCTTCCCCCTGCCGGGAAGGCTACACCTGACCCAGTGCTTTCTCCCCAGAGGAGCACAATGTGCACCTCTAACTTACACATCTGAGAGCTGCTGTTATGCTCTGCATCTATACTGCAGACTCATTCTTTTCTACAAGCTTGCATAATATATGTAGAAGAATTCAAATGCACACTATCAGGGTGGAAGAAAAATTTGTTAGCTTTTCAGTGTATAGACAGAAGTGGGAAAAACTGCATTACTAATACAACAGTATTGCAGTTTGGATAAGTGTAAGACAGCGGGTGAGACTGTGATGCAGATTTGAGGGAATGATGTTGTGTCAGGATGGCTAGACTTCAGGTGCTTCAAGCCTGTTAGACATGTTAGAGTGTACTTTGGATGTAGACCATGTGTGCTTTATTGGTTTTAAGGAATTGTGTTTTAATAGGTCCTTTCGTTGGTTTCCGCCCATATTTTCAGACTGTGACTACAGTCACATCGTCCTGATTACTTAGTAATAACCCAGTGCAGTAGCATTAATGCTAGTGTCACGTGTGGATCACTAGATGGGAATATTTAGTGTTAACTGGGAACTGTGATTTGATAGTTAATATCTTTATTACCAGTGGCAAAGTCAGTTGGTAGGAAAACGTTAGAGAAGGTATGCTAAAACTGGTGATGTCCAAATCAACTAGCCCCAAAGGAATTCACCCTAGAAGACCTAGAATACTGCCTGAAATAATGTTATAGACATTAGTGCGTATTTTCTCCAAACATCTGGAGATTGGATGAGATTCTGGAGGCCTGAAACTCAGCATCTGCTTCTCAAATGTGGGAGAGGACTAACTAAAGGAGGATTATAGGTCAGCTAGTTTAATTCCCAGGCAAAGTATTGAAACAAGTAGATTGTTAAACTTGCACAGTGATGAAGAGAGGAAAAGAGGCTAAGACAGGTTAATTAAACATAGCTTCCCATTGATAAATCCCCTTTTTCTCTGACAATGAAACAGGTCTTCTAGGAGGGGCGGAAAAGCAGTATTAAGGCTTTTAAAATAGTTAGCTCAGTCTATCTGGCTCTAGCTTACTATGAGAATGTTGTATGAGACTGCATTACCATGAATGGTAACTTGCTGAAAAACCATACTCAGTAACAAAAGTTAAGAGACTCAGTGGATTGGAAAACACGTTTAAAATAATAAAAAAAATCTGTAGATGTCTGTGTTTGGATACTACTAGTTTAAGTTTTTCAGTCAGAAAATCTACATGTCAGAGTAGAGATTATGCTTTTAAATTTGAAGTTAAAGGCAAAAGAAACTGGAAAAGGCATTTGAGTTTATCAGATTAGAATTATCTTGATGTATGGGAGAATTGCACTCTAAGAAGTTGTGCTGAGTTTTGATAGTGAAAAATACAGAGCATGATGTACTGGCAAGAATAATCAACTGAACAAATACAGAGGTAATTCCTGGCTGGGCAGCAATTCCATAGAAAAGTTGTACAGATGATAGTGAATAACCTGAATTATGTCCAGTTTTACTCAGTACTTGAAAGATTTTGATGCAGTCTTGGTTATCAACTGGAGGGAGCTCATAAAAGAGCAGAAAATAAGAGAAAAATAAGGCAGCTAACTTCACATGGGAGAGAAGTCTAGAGGGGGGAATTGGGTAACGCTGATGGATAGAGGAGTGGGAAAAACAGAGCTGATGCTAAGAGGGACCCTTCCCTTGTGGGCAGGAGAAATGAAATCAGCCAAAATGAAAGCAAGAGAGATTTAAATGTTGGACATGAGAGACTTAGAGTGATAAAAATGTCTAGTGAAAGTATGAGATTAGGTTCTTGAGTAACAAACACGGTAGTGATCTTTTGGGAGGGGCCTTAAGGTTGCATCTTCTGCTGTTGATCAGGAATGTACATGTGGCCTCCCTTGTGGGCAGGAGAAATGAAATCAGCCAAAATGAAAGCAAGAGAGATTTAAATGTTGGACATGAGAGACTTAGAGTGATAAAAATGTCTAGTGAAAGTATGAGATTAGGTTCTTGAGTAACAAACACGGTAGTGATCTTTTGGGAGGGGCCTTAAGGTTGCATCTTCTGCTGTTGATCAGGAATGTACATGTGGCCTCCTGAGGCTTTTTCTTACCCAGGGATTCTTGGGCATGAAGGCACGTTCTGGAAACTGAAAATCTTTAAGCAGTTAGAAGACACTCAATGGTCACATTTTTCTCCACATTAATATTCAAAGTCATTTGCTTGCTTTTTTATTAAGCTTGTCCTCAATTGACATTATTGAAACTGGTTTTTGGGCAAATACTACTTGTAACTTTTTCCAGCTTTCTAGGTGACAGAAATGATATTCAGAAACAAAACCTTGGTCAGAGTATGAACTGAAACCAAAAGTATGCAGTAGTTGACTGAAAGCTGCAAGTTGTTAGCTGAGTGGAGTTATAGTCAATGTCATTCACTGTCCTTAGTCAACATATAAGTCACTGTAATATATAATAATTCATAAAGGATTTAGTTACTGATTCCACTACTGATGTGACCCTAGATGTTTTTGTCCCTGCATTGATGCTTTTTGGCTCATTGGTAATGGAATTGCATGTTTCATGGTCTTCTCTTTTGTTGCAGGTTTTGGGCTGGATCCGAAATGGAGAGTCCATGTTAAATGCTGGACTTATCACTGCTAGCTCTTTGCAGGAGGCAGAACAGTTGCAGAGGGAGCATGAGCAGTTTCAACATGCGATAGAGGTAAAAGCACCATTTTAGTGACCACAGTCTTGTATTACAGTCAGTTCAGGAGTCTCTTCAAATAGTACTGTTGGGTTCTTGCCATAATGTTTTTAGTTTAGGAATAGCTGTTGAAATCATATTATGGCAAAAAGCTAAAAACACACACTGGGAAGGTGCGGCAGTTTTTTCCTGTTCATTTTGAAGCTGCAATTTCAGGCGAACGTCATCTCAGTGCCTTTTTACATCTTTGTAAAGTGATGGCTGTTCACAGCAAATTTACTGAAAATAGTGTTTCCTTTCTTAGAATATAACATATAATGCTAATTATTAAAGTTAAAAATTGGAAGAGCAAGCATCAGTTTTGTGTACTCTGGTGTGGTCCTTCAGTGTTTTCATTTTCGTTTCAGAGTAGGTTTCACTGTAATTAGTGTGTGGTGATGTGTCAATCTAAAGTAAGCAGATTGGTCATATTGCTGCAGAAAAGTAGGCAGAATTCTTAATATTGACTGAAATGTGGTATCGTTAATTTGTATGCACTATTGAGGGACTTGCAGTGATATTGACTATATATAGCATACATTTTTAAAGAACTTATGTTGAAATATTAACAATGTTATGATTGCTTGGAAAAACTGTTTTCAGAAGTACTCTGTCTTGCAGCAACTCTTTCATGTGCAGTTCATTTTAGTAGAGTCTCATGCTTCTCTCTTTTTCTTTTAAATGTTTTTTTATTTTTACAGTTTGCATACTAAGTGCACCCTCAGTTTGAAAGCTTTGGTAACTCTTAAGTGTAAAAATCACAAGACCTTTAGGTGTTTTTCAGTTTAAGAGAAAATAACTGGGAAGCTTAAATTCTGTGTTTTCTGGGTCATTCTCTACTCAGATATAATAATACTTAGTAGTACTTAACCCGTTAATAGTTAGGGGCTCCAGTTTTTAGGCAAATATATGTTTACAGAGAGAAATACAGTTAAAGTACGTTTCCTTACAATGAATAGAAAGTTGTCTATTTTTATTTGCCTATGTGCCTGCTCCTGTCTTTGCTAACTACTGATGTGCAAAAGACTGCAGTTAAAGCTGTGAGGACAGTAATAGCAATCGAACTGCAATAAGATACATCCTTTCCATCTTTTTTCTCACCACAAAGGGAAAGAATCTTAAAATGCGTAATTATATCAATGTGTGCTGTCACGTGTGGCTTAATGCTAGACAGTGGCTATTTGTTAGAAACTACTGTTTAGTGTTGATTGGATGACAAATCTCTACAGGATTTATTTCCTTTATATTTGCATAGAGAAGTCACGCAGGAACTAATATTAGACGGTTATTTTTAGTTGATGCGTGTTTGTGCATGTGTGTAGAAGTGTCATTGACACAGTGGAAATGTGAGCCTTTGAGGTCTTCAGGAAGATGAACTGAAGTGCTCCACTGAACTCCTGTATTTTCACCTCTTGTC